CGTGGAATGTTCTGTGGATGTCCAAACGGCACAACTACAAGAATTGTACAGTCACGGGACGCTCGATCCAGACCTAATTCATTCACTTTCCATTTTACCTTCAAGATTTTCAACGTGGAGTGCGATGACTACTGTATAACTACGAGAGTGTCTTGATTCATTTGAACTTTCGACTTGGCGAAGAGGCAACCATGAAAGCACTTCTGAATTCCCAAGAACAAGGTCTTATGCCAATTGAATAAATATACTCTATATTTTTGTCAAATATTCGTATCTGGATTGGCATACAAATACTAAGTTGTATCTGGATCGAATCCAATAAATCAATCAAGTCAAAACGAAGGCAGAAAACTGTCGGACCAGAGTTTCGGAGTTTCGAGGTTGCAGGTGTTGGTGATTCATCTTCACGACGCTGGCATCATCGCGTCCTTCAAAGCAAAGTAAAGCAGTGGCAATGCAGAATGCTCTGGATCAATCGACAATGTACTTAATAACGTCAAATGGATCCTGCCGACATCAGTATCGTGTCCCTGGGTGGTCCTTCGTCGAAACGCACAATAACACATTATCGCTTAACCCTCTACTGCCACCACGGAGATGTATGATGCGGCGCTGCCTGCAACAACATGACCAAGGAGTTCGAGTCGTACGCTTCGCCGGCAAGCTTAACCGCCAAAGTGGAGTATATCAAGTCCAACAAACTCAGCCCCATGCACTGATCTGCGGACACCGACGCGCCGGTCAACTGTGGCCGGTCCTTGGTCACACAAGGCTTCAATTTCTGACCACACTTGGACTCGAAAAACAAAACACAGCGGTACCGCAACTTCAAGCAACGTGTTGGAGTAGCAACATTCCCATGGAACGAATATGCAATGGTGCATTCCAGTGGATCGTTCGAGACGTCACAAATAATGGGGGGCGCTGTCACTAGCTGGTGTGCGTGTACAGGTGATTGTCGCATCCGCAGCCATGGAGCCGCGCGTTTGGCGGCAGCAAGTCGCACTCGCTGAATCCCCAGCAGTTCTCGATGGTCAAGTGGGGGATACTGGCCAGCATCGCCGCGCTGCGAAATGGAATTCGCTCCAACACCAAGCTCTTCACGTTGCTGAAGCACGACACATCGACGATACTGGGGCAGTGGGCCAATCGAACCTACACCCCAGATCAAGTCAAGTCCGTTTGACGCGTAACAGGACCTTGGACACGTTGGCAAGCGGCGACACGTCTGAAAGAAGGGGGCAGTTGGAAATGTCGACGTTCGTTGCCATTGCCAAGGCGGCGACGCTTTGCAAATTTCTAATCTCGTATTAAAACCCTGCTCATGCAACGGGGAGGGGAGGTTATACCGCAAGCCATCGAGATGCACGGTGTGCGCTCGTCGCAGCGGGGTCAAGTCGGTGATTTGAATGCAGTCCGTGATCGAAATCGTCTCGATTGTCGATGGCGATGGCAGGTGCTTGACGAAGCGATTCCCGCCTAGAATCAACGTCCGGACATTGCCCAGCTCGTTCACCGACGTGAGCTTTCCAACTCCCGTCAGATTCAACGTGCACACATTGCCCAACGCACTGACGTCTTGGATGTTCCAGCACCCAGTCAAGTTGACCTCGTCGGCATGTCTATAAAAGCAGGGCTCGACTCGTCGCCACCAACAATCGATGATGGCCCACCACGTACCTCAGCGCCGAGACGTCGGTCACTCGGAAGCAGTTGGTGAGGTTGATGCGCTTTACGTTTGCCAATGCAGACACGTCCGCGAGAGCAGAGCATCCGGTCAAGTTGACCGATGTGGCGTGCTTGAGCGCCGACACGTCCTGGAGACACCAGCTGCCAGTCAAGTCGACATGGGCCACGTTGGACAGCCACGAAATGTCGGTGACGCGGGAGTGGTGGCACGCGTAGGACGCATGGGATATCATGTCGGTAGCTTCGTCCAGGCGGCGGCTGTGGACGAGCTCAACCGATGGAACGTGCGCAATTTGGTGTGGATGGTACGTCACCAGTACCAGCCGTAGAAACTCTAGCTGGGGCGCGTTCACTTGCACTGCCGTGGTGTGTTGGTTGTTGGCTTCTACGCTCAAACGGCGCAGACTCGTCAACGTCTACAGAGCGATGGCATGTCGACGTCGGCGTTCCAAGATGGAAACGAGGTATACCGTGAAGTCGGAGAGTTGCATGCATCGATACACAGACAGAGCATGGAGCTGTGTTAGAGAGGCCAGGGACATGTTCGTGATGTGGGGGCACATTCGTAACGTGAGGACCTGGGCTTCCCGAAGCCCGCTCACGTCGACAACACCGTCGCAGCTATCCAACGTTACGATCCGCACTCGCTGGAGCGGGTGCACGTTGTCAAAGCCATGGCACCTGGTCGAAGTTTCATGGTGAGACTCGTGCAGGAGTTGTAGTGGACGCTACCGAGAAATGGTGACCGCGTGCAGATTGGCGAGATGCCAGAGGTCGAGAGTATGGTTGCGAATCCCAGAGGCCTCGTACGACAAGCGAAGCTGTGGCCACGCGCGTTGAGGCGCCACGACCGCGTCGAGCGGCGTCCGGCAAGGCAGTGTCAGTACTTGGGTCGGCGTGACCGTCTTCATGGCCGATCGACAGCGGCGTGCAACTTGCGATAGACGCAGCCACGAGGCCAACCCCAGCGCTGCGCAAAATTCTTCATGCCACAGGATTGCCTCCAGCGACGTGGTCATCTACCAGCGCATACCACGATGACCTGGATAGGATACACCACGACGACTGCGTACCATGGTGCGAACAATGAGAAATGGCCCAGCTACAATCCCACAGCAACGGGAGAGACTGTCGAGTAACTGTCGGGGGGACGGCTTCAAACCTCGCTTGGGCGTTCGTGCAGAGGTCAAGAAGCCGCGGTCGTGGAAGCCCAACGCTATGCAGCAATCCGTGGCAATCCCACCGTGATTCAAAGCATGGCTTGGAACTCGCATTCCTACTTCTTCTGCATATTCACAGACGAGTAAAGTCCAATGCTCGGCGCACATGGGATCGCAACCTTTGAACACTTCGCATGTGTTTGCAAAGATGGCGTGGAGACCGGCCAGCCCCCTTGCACTCGGCATGCGATAGTACTATTGTTGACCGCCAACATACAACAAACTCGGGGTGAACTCAACATGCTAACATTAGAACTAAGTTGTTGACGAGCGCCAGTCCCGCGGCGGGCAAGGTGTTGGACTTAGTTGGAAGCACAAAGCCCCTCGTCGCCGATTTGACGATTGTATGGCGGCGCTCCTTCCTTCCGATGTGCGATGATCGGTGATGACAGGCACTACGTCCCGTCAGCCAAGCGGCCGCCGACGTTGCGGCGTTGCGCAGGGTCACTTCACGTCCGCGCCAAATCTGACCATGGTCACCGCATTTGGAGGCAAGCAACCACTCGGTTTGCGGGGTCCGTCGAGATCTCGGCGATCGCGACCGTTCGACTTATACGGGTAGGGCGTCAAGGTGTCGCAACGCCTGCGGTTCGTTGGCGGCATCGCTTGTACCAAAATCGGCGATGCTGCCATTGAAGCACTCCACAGCCTCGTGGCCATAGCACCAAGGCCACGGGCACCAAGACACTCGCCAAGCGCTTCACGCCATGCTACAAGGTGGAGGTCGGACGGCGACTGGGGATCGTTCGAGCACGTGAGCTTTGGAGTGGTCCATGACGTGGCGCAGTACAGCGACTTCGACGCGAGGGAGGCGACGACGCCTCACAACAGGTGCGCCGTATCCGGATGTTCACACCACGACCGTGTGCCATCGCCAGGATATCCCCGACACTTATTCTTTTGATCTGCTTCAGCCATGTCCAGCTCGGCGAGCTCCAACTTCTCGATGGGCGCCAATGCCCGGGCCGGTGCTTCCCTCGGCGTGCTTGCGTCCACATACTTCTGTCCGGTCAAGGCGTTCCACAAGGATTTCATCCCGTTCCGGACGTCGCAACGGATGTATGATGTTACGAGCAAAGCCAACGAGAACGGTCATGCGCAATCCCATGGCGATTGCCATTTCGAGCGCATTCCCCAGACCAAAGCCCACGAACGCTCGAACGGGATTGTGCAGTTGCTCGCCAGGCGCCGGTCGCTCCGTTTCTACTGAAATGAAGATATACCGCTCGGCATCATTGAGAACTAGAGCCGCTGGAACGGCGCCGTCTCGAGAGGCACCCAGCTTTGTTGTTTTTGCGCGGTCAAGACAGCTGCACTGAAGGAGCAGATCCGCCAAGCGGTGGAAATTGAAGAAGTCACCTGCATGAACAAGATGTGGTCGGCGTAGTGAAGCATTTTCGTGTCTGCGATTCCAGAAGCGTCGGTCAAGCTGTCCTTGACGGAAGAACCATGCATCCTTGTCATGATGAAGCGCAGCCATGATGTGGAGCCCGAAGGCACGCGAAGTGGACTACCCCGAACAGAGCTGCGGTTCGTATCGCGTCCGGGCTGCTTTTCACGTCGCTGCTGCAACGCCACCTTGGCCTCTTTGACAAGTACTCCCATGGGTGGCAAAACCAAGATCCGCACGATCTTTATCCGCCCTGCCAACGAAAAAGTCTCCCTCTTGTTGCCCGTCGGGTATCGCACCGCCGTCGGCACCGTGCCATACTCGACTGATGCCGAATTGTGCATCAACATCCATCAAACGACGTTTGATTGGCTATCTACAAAGGATATAAGTTGTAAAGAGCGAATTTGATTGGCTAACTTTCACAAATATCTGCATTGGATTGGCTCAAACGCACACACTTGACGTAGGAAAGCCCTTGGATAGGTCTGAATTTTGTCCAATATCCATTCGACAGGCCAACATTGTACTGTACAGTACATTGGACTTGGCGAGAAAATTCCACAAGTACAAAGCCACTTTCCTCGTCGTATGATGCTCCCAACAAGAAGAAGGCAGGACGGGCATGGGCTTCAGATAGGGGGGAGCGAGTTGGCGGCGTCAAGCTTGTTCAGATGAACGAGGGATATCCAACCTGTTTCAAGTTTGACACGAAGGATATGGAACCTTCCGGCGAGATCGGCGCGCCTCCCCACCCACAGATATGTACATCGTGATGTTGCCGAACGGACGGTCGCCAGAGCGGTTCGTGTGCGACGATCGAGGGCGACCGTCCTTCGTGGAACACTGGTCCGCCATGCCTTCCGACCCACTCGCCGACGCAACCAACGCTTCCAACCCCACTACTACTTGCCACCTGATGCGACCGAATTCAATGCATTCGACTGGACGAATCGCGCGTGTCGTATTTTAATACAACGTTCTACTGCAGCATCTGGGTGGGCGACGACGATCTGGTCTATCAAGCGTTCGCAGCCCGACGACTGTCATCGGCCCCGCGAGTCGCCGGCGCCACCACGGCAAAGACACCGCACCCTACAGCGAATCTGCTCTCGATCGGACCTCGCGTGCCGGCGCATGGAGAACCCGTGGTCCACGAGATGAAAAGGCCAGTGCGGCCTGATTACTGCGGTCGCCCGCCCCATACAACAATCAAGTCAACGTTTGGAGTCAGCACGTCCGGATAAGGTAACCGGATATCGCCGGCGCCGTGGCCAAGTTTCACAGCGCAACAACGCAGCACCAGGAACAGCATGCTGGAAGCGGCGGCAGAGGTCGTCGCGACGACAGCAGCGGCGGTCCTTGCAACGAATGCGACCAACAGTACAAGCATGAGCGCCGTAGCTGCCACTGGTTATGCGTCTCCGAGAAATGGTGTGGCTGCCCTGCGCTTTGTGTTCACAATTCTTTCGATTCTTGGGTGCGCAGTCGTCGTGCTCAGTTACATCCTGTTTCTTCCTCTCCGCAAGGGCGCGAACGCGCTGGTCGTATCCATCGCGATTTGCGCCTTGGGGATGCACATCACGATGTTTGCCCAGACCGGGTTCAAGGGCCCATTGTCCGAGAACGTCGACTGCGATGTGTCGGTCGCGGCGCTGACTCAGGTAATTCTGCTACGGTTTTTTCCTCGTCGATAGTGCTCAGCGCGCGTTGTGCCGCTAGTTTTTCGTGTTGGGCCAAGAGATCTACCTCTTCACGATGATCCTTGATTTGTACTCGACCACGCGAAACCCGTTTACGTTCACGCGCACTTCTGTCTACCACGTGTTTGTCCTGTCGGTGTCGCTCGTTGGCGCTTATTTGTTTTCGCTCAACTCGCGCGCGATTGGGTTCACCGAGCTCGGCGTGTGTTGGTTCCGGTCCCGCGACGACAACGCGTCCGTGTGGCTGCACATGTAAGGTGTCGCTCGATCCCTCGGTTGTGCTCACGTGTGGTTTCCAGATACTTTGTCGCTCCGCTCGCGTTTCTGTACGGGAAAGGGTTCATGCTATTCATTGTGGCGCGGAATCGCATCCAAGACGGGTACGATGACATTACGACCTCCGCCGCCCGCATCTTGTCCCTGCGCCACATGCGTGTGTACATTGGCATGTCTGCGCTGTACTGGGTCATCATGGGGATGGGGTCGATCGCGATTCTGTTTTGGATTCCCCTGGAAGACACGGTCGCCGTGCCTCGGCGGAGAACCCAAGTCTTTTACGAGTTCTGGATGCTGGGCCTGTCCGTCAAAGGCACGGTCGTGTTTGTCCTGTACACATACTTGATGAAGCTCCCAGCAGTGTACTCGATGTGGCGCCAGGGGTCGTACGACGACCTGATGAACGTCCAAGGGGTGCACTGGGTGCTTCGTCGCGACGTGCTGTACTTTGCTCGGTACCACCACCTTCCTTTGGTTGTCCCCTGTCAGTGTGACGCGATCGTTTGTGGTGTAGCATGGGCATCTGCGAATCGATATCGTCTGCAGTCGAGTGGATCCCGGAAGGTCCGTCTGCGTACGCGGTGCGGTCGCTCGAGCTCGTCGGTCGCCATGAATCCCACAAGGCACTGTTCCACGAGTTTGAAGCTGCGTCGTTCGCGCTGATCCGGTCGCTGTCGGGCATCACGGCCGACGCGTTGGGTCACAGCATGCGAGTGCACACGCAAGAGCGGTTCAGCGAAGGCAAGAGTGGGGCGTTCTTATACTACACGGGCGATCAAAAGTTTATTGTCAAGACGTGCACCGAAGCCGAGCAACGCTACCTCATGCAAATCCTGCCGTCGTACATTGCGCATCTCCAAATGTACCCCAACTCGTTCTTGTCTCGCTACGTCGGGTGCTACGAGCTGGTCGTGTACGATCAAACGATTCGGTTCATCGTGCTGGCCAACATTTTGCAAAACCCGAGCGTCGTCGTTGACGAGTTTTACGACTTGAAGGGATCGTGGGTTGGCCGGTACGTCATCGTTGATTCCGTGTGGAACGATATCGCAAGTGGCATCGTTGATTTTGTTCTGTGGGAGATTTGCTTGATGTTGGTGTGGAAACCATGCGATGTGTTGTTGTTGTGAGGCGGTCGTGCAACGTGGCTATCGACGAGCTCATGTTTGGGTGCAGGTATGAAAATCCGCACGTGTTGAACGTCCGCAAGGTGTGCAAGTACTGCGGGAAAGAGTTTGTGGTCGGTATGACGCAGGAAATGTGCGCGATGAACCCGAGTCGCAAGCAAGGCCACATTCAAGACATGTACGACTCGCGTTGGACGTATTAATCGAGTGTGTGTCACGGTTGATTTCTGTAGCTGCGGGAAGGACTTGAACTGGGGCGCGCGCCAGATCTCGCTCCACGAAGACTTGGCGGACGCGATTGCGGACCAGCTCGCGACCGACTCGGAATTCCTCCGGTCGATCAACTCGATCGATTATTCGTTGATTGTGGGACTGCATACCAACGCCCACATGGCAGGCCAGGCCATGGACGGAAGCAGCCAGGATGTCGAAGACGCGATGCAGCCAGGCGCGATCTCGACCGTGACGCGGGACCCGTACGACCTCACGCTGCTTGGGCTGCAAAAGAAGAAGCACCAGCGCAGCATCACGTCGTCGTCTACCGCGACCACAAACACAACCGCAACCAACCAAAACCTCATGTGCTCGCCGACGACGTCGGACGTGAAGGCATCGGCTGGGTACCATCCGATCACGTCGACCAAGGCGGCGGCGTCGTCGAGTGGGTCGGTCAACCACATGCAATCGCCTGCCCAGAACGCGCTGCTTCCTCGCCCCGGCCTCGGCCACAACAACGAATGCGTCGTGTACATGGGGATCATTGACATTTTGACCCCATGGAGCGTGCGCAAGCAGCTGGAGCACTGGATTCGCGTGTACGTGCAATGTCTCGATCGGCTCGGCATCTCGTGTGTCGACCCCAAGTACTACGCGCAACGATTCCGGGATCGCGTCGTCAACACTGTCATCCGAGGCCAGCGCACGCCGGACCTGTCGACACAACTTGTGGGCGACACCAACACGTCGCAACAACCGCACCGACTCAACTTGAAGCTGCTCAACCCGCAGCCCATCGGGCCGTCGTCTCTCGATGGGTTGACTGGCATGCGCAACACGACGTTGGTCGCAAGCGACTTTACGGGGTCGAATTTTGTGTGGGACCACCAGCGCCCGTCGTCGTCCAAGTCCAACTTGAGTTCGTTTCCGAGTGTGAACAGCGGCCACGGCCCGGTGCTGCGGTAGTATTTTTATCCCCAAAAAATCGGTGTTGCCATTTCTCTCTGTCCGATGTCGGGTGAAAACGTCCCACGTTTGGTCCGGAAATTCGACACGGGCCGGACACGGTGGCCATGATCCGTCGGGTGGATGGATATATCTATTCGTTGAAGCAAGGTCAAACGAATGGGGCGACAAAGCGATGCCACGCCCGAGTCGACCGAGGGCAAACCGTTGCGCGCTCGGGGTTTCGAATCGGCGACCCGTGCGCATACGTAGCCGGCAGGCGTGTAAAGTTGCTGCTTCACGCCTTGAACATCCACGTAGCACGTTGTCGACGGAAAATTCGAAACTCGTGTGTGTTTTTTTTTGCGTGCGCACCCTTACACAGAAAACAAAAAAATGTTTGGTCAAATAACATCGTTTTGATATGTATATTCATGTGGAATGTTCAGCACCATTGTTCGGCGAGACAGATGAGGATCATGCGCAAGCCCGCGCGGATGTGTTTCGATGTTGCATGGGACTAGCGAGTCGTCGATCCCGTCGGACGGGATACCCCCAGCACTGTGCGTCAAGCACACGAGCAACGCGCCTGCTCAACGCTCCACTGGTAGCGCCTGACACGGTGCGTGTTGGAACACATGCTAGGTTTCCAGCATCGTCTGAATGGATCCTGCGGCATGTGTAGGACGTGCAAATTGCAACCAATTCCGCCAGGAACATGTCCATTCTAAAGATGGCTCGAAGTGCATGAGACGATAGGGATACATGCCAGGTCCACGAATCCCGTATTGGGCCATCGCCAAACAAACCACGTCATTCGTCGCGGTGCATGTCGAGGCGCGCTGGTCGTTTTGGTTTTTTCGTGCAGATCCAATTTGAGAAATCCGTGTGAAGCATCCTCCGTTTCGTCGAACGTGTTGTTGGCAGCCCGTGAAGGAGCCGCGCAACAGGCGTCCACCCTCGCCGCCGACATGGCCGTGGATGTCGTCCGGCAAGTGTACTCGCTCGTCATGCTTCAAGCAGGTCTGCATTCCATGGATCGCCTCTGGAATGCTACGATCACATGGACGATCTGCTTTTGAACAGCGGCGTGCCCGTCGATGCCACGTTCAGAAAGCCACACCCAGTGTTGCGCAGTCGACCTGTTCAAGAGCGATGTGTGGAGAGCACCTAAAGCAATTTTGTACCATACGATGGAACAACGCTTGAGTTGGAAAAAATACGTTATCAATTCATATTCGCGAGCACATCATGCAGCATGGTTGTGCGGGGTCATTTTCAGCTTTGAGAGACTGCCGTGCTTCCTTAACTTTTGCTCCTTGACCAGCCCGCGCAATCGGCCATCTACCACATAAGTGTTTCGCCCACTGTCTTCATTCATCTTGAACGCTTCCAGGAACGCAAACGCCCACCCGTGCATGTCAGCTTCGGTCGCAAATGACATGATAAAGCGACGCGACGGCGTCCTGATCGCCAAACACCACGATGTTGGCGTATTGTTTACCACGTCTGAGGGAAGAGTCTCGAGCGATTCCTTGGTGCACTCGGACAGATCCAAGCATCCCTTCAACACGCCCTGCTCTTCATCGAAGTAGCGCAGATCATCCTGTGTCAGCACAAAGTACCGCTTCTTCCAGTTCTTGCGCTGAAAGAACCCGGCGCCAGACCCTTGCTTGTACATGCACCCACGCTTTAACAACACCATCGGCGCGGCCGCGACGATGCCACAAAGCGAATTTCAAACGTATGTTCGACCTGTACTTTATCGAATGTATGTGATATACAGTAATTGACCGAAAATTTTGTCCGGTTGGACCTGCCCATCAACTTTAATCTTCCAACAAGACAACGCGCCAATTCACACTGCCAAGAAGATCGATGCATTTTTCAACGAAAATGCTATTGAAAAGATGGACCACCCCCCTCAAAGCCCTGACCTGAACCCCATCGAGCATGTATGGGGGAGTATATTAAGCGGAGGATTCGTTTGAATCCTCCATCGTCGCTTGATGGGTTGCGCGAACGTGTGCAGGACCTTTGGGAAAATGGACCCGCCGACGACATTCAACCGTTGATCTCTAGCATGCCCAAGCGATTGAGCATGGTGATTGCCAACAAGGGTGGTGCAACCAAGTACTAATCTTTGAATAATACAAACTGTATGGTCGATTTTGTGGAATCGTATGAAAACTTTTGACTCATTACTTT